AATGTGGGGTATGTGTGGGAATGGTCGATGGAGATTGCTGCTCTACAAACTCTACAAACATCTCTTCAGCAATTTATTATTACCCTTTGAGCTTGAAGAAGAAGATCACCTCGAAACGCGTCGCTCCGTCACCACCACCCCGTGCACGTTCTTCCCCAGCTTTTTGTCACTTCCACCCCATCACGTCCTAAAAACACTATGATCAAGTCTAGAGGCAGCCTCTCCACCAGCACCCTCGGCACACACAGCACTCAGTACAAATTGATTTACCATCTATCCCTTCACCCCCGGGATACTCTGAATACGTCTCGGATCGCCACAACCCCATTGGGGCCCCCCCTGTCAGGACCCTCAGCTCCTCAAGTAAGTCGCGAATGCTTTGTTTTTTGATGAGTTCTTGTTCTTTCTACCTGTAACACAGACATTGGTTGCCCCTACACCCTTTACACTCCCAGGATTTGCGCTCTCATTTGCCTCATCTCTGAGTTGACAAGGGCAGCCTCCCTTGCAGCTCCGGTCCCAGGGCTCCTAGATAGCAGAACCTGTGCGCAGGGACATAGAGTGGCATGAGCACTGGAAGATGTTCCCGTACTTGGACGATTCAAGCTCTGTGATGCTGAAGAGTCTCTCATTTGGAAGCAGGTACTGGAGAGGAACACCAGGGAACAGAGTTCAGGAAGAGCCACGGTCAATACAAGCCGAGTCATCAACGGGCGTTTAGAGCAGTACCAGGTGACAGGCGGAAACAAGGTCAGGAACAAGCCAGGATTGGTGCAGGAACTTGGGGGCAGTGCAGGAAACTCTGGCTTCCTGACACCTGGCTTAGATTGTTATTCTTATCTTGTACCAGTTCAAACACTGTAGACAATGACTCTTGAGGACTATAAGGAAGAGCAACGATCCACTGCATGGTCCTAAAATATGTGTGAAGACAATCTATAAAATCTTATAAATCTTGTTATAATTTCAAAAGGCATTTTCAGTATTTTTACAATTTGCAGCTTTCAATAAAATAATAACTGGTCTTCCGCCACAAAGGTCCTTCTTCAGGAAACCTCGGCACTCCAATTGTGGTGAAACTACAAGTCCCATGTGGCAAGGCTCTGAAAGCCACAGGCATGACTCTCAGAGGCAGAGGCATGATGGAATTTGTAAATTCACCATGGCTGGAGTACTGAGGTTGTGTCAGGGGTTCGTGCACAGGTGTCCCCACACCGTATGCAGGTACCCACACGGGAAGACCAAACACGTATGACCACACCAGACAAGGCAAATGTGTTATAGTTTGCCAAGCCCTGACCTACTCCATCCAAAATGAAAAAAAAAGTGTTGGCTTCAGATAAACTTTAAGGCCGGATTCACACTTTCAGGTTGCAGGAAGTGTAAATGGCACCTCCACGCACTACGGCAATGAGCCCGTGTTATAGCACGCCAATATGCACAGCAATGCGTGGTAGCAAATGGGCTCTAAGGCCCCTTTCACATGGACTGGCCATGCGTGCAGGGGCGTCCTAAGGCTGGGTGACACCCGGAGCGGTAACCGAGTGTCACCCCACCGAGACGTCACTGCGCATGCACCACGCGCGTGCGCGATGACGTCATCTTGGTGATGGACGCCGGCAGAGAGAGGAGGGGACAGTCAACCGACGGGATAAGGTATGCCGCCGGGTCCCCTCCTCTCTCCTGATACTGTCGGGCGTTCGGTCCATGACCGAGTGCCCGACTTTTCAGAGGGGGGTGACACCAAAATGACTGTGAGTCATTTTAATGTCACCCCTCCAATGGTGTCACCCGGGTGCGGGCCGCACCCCCTTTGTGACGCCACTGCATGCGTGGATCCCCTCCTGATTTCAGCGGTACAGATCGGATGTGACCGCTGTGAGATCCGTGCCCATCCAGTTTAAACAAATGGACCGCATGTTGGTCTGTGGGAAATCAGATGTAAATGGACGTGTCTGTCAAATTACTATAGATACACCGATGCTGATACTGGTATTGGTGCTGACACAGGGCATTCTCACGAGTACTTGTACGTGTAAAAATGCTGCGATACATAGCGTCGATGCCGCAGCTTTACATTTTCAAATGACTTCGGCTGTCTGAAGTCCTGCGCTTGTTGGGGGCCTCAGGCAGCCTGCTGGGGACCTCAGAGTAGCTGAGAGCTGGTCGAGTTTGACATCTCCTCCGCCTTCCCGAGACCAGCACTGCCCTTGACAGACCCACACCCCCTGTACACCCCTGGAGAGCCCGACGCCCGGCACCCACCCATTCAGCCTTGAAGAGCACCACATGCAGCCATGGTGAGATGCGAATGCAGCGCTGATGTCAAGAAGCCCGTTGAAGACCTCCTGCTGGTAGTGCTGCGCAAGCATCTGCGCATGCGCACGGTTTGACCCATGGAGTCAGGCCTGGGTATGCGTCTCTGTATAGATGTGCGCGTGTGCTCATATGTGTGCGCGCACTGCAGATTTTAGCGTCAGGTGGGCTATTTAAGCTGTGTCTCCCTGATGATCAGTGCTGGATGATCGTCAGCTTTCTGCTATCAAGATCCAGCAGATTGTTCCTGTGTACCTGTTATTTGACCCCGGCTATCCTGACCCTTCTGCTGTTCTCCTGCACCCTTGACCTCGGATAGTTCCTGACGCCTCCTCTGCCGGCTGTTCCTGTACTGCGCTGTCCTCGGGCCTGCCCTCTACTATGAATTCGTCTGCTGCCTGGTACTGCATTGCCGCTTGATTCTTAATCAGCCTGCTCCTGACCTTGTTACCACCTGATCTGCATCCCAGACGTGCATCCCCTGCGTTGTCTGCTGCTCTACAGTGGTGATTCAGGACTGATTCCGTCAACAGTCTTCGGGCACTTGTGCCCGGAGTTCCCTGTTCCATTACCCAAGGGTCTCGGAACCGGAGTTGCAAGAGAGGCCTCCCTCGTCACTTCAAGCTCTGAAAGGTACGTGACACCTGATGAAACAAGAACGCAGCCCTGTTGAGACCTGTATGCAGTCCTGGTGAGAAGCAAACGCAGCCCAGGTGAGACCGCACACAGCCCTGGTGAGACCGCACACAGCCCTGGTGAGACCGCACACAGCCCAGGTGAGACCTCACACAGCCCAGGTGTGACCGCACACAGCCCAGGTGAGACCGCACACAGCCCTGGTGAGACCGCACACAGCCCAGGTGAGACCGCACACAGCCCAGGTGAGACCGCACACAGCCCAGGGGAGCCGGTTGCCATTCTCCATTGCAGTATAATCATGGATTGAGTTACCGTTCATCATAATTATAAAGAAACTGCCCTAAAATCATCAGTCTGTATTGTTTTATTATTATTATTATTATACAGGATTTATATAGCGCCAACAATTTGCTCAGCGCTATACAAGACAGTACAGTACAATACAGTTTCAGTACAATAGGGTTGGGAGGGCACTGCTCGTGAGAGCTTACAATCTAGTAGGAGGGGCAAGTGATACAAAAGGTAATAATTGTTTGGGTTGAGTTTTAGAAAAAATTTCACATGTCCCTTTAAGTAAAAGTCGATAATTGGTATCAGCAAGTACCTGAGGGACAGAGCTTATACTTGGTATGGAAAAAATGGTATTGGGACCTACAAATTGCCCCCGATCCGGCGAAACTTATCTCTGATCCATTTGTCTTTCCAGACCTGGCCGGAGTCGGGGGTAACCGAATGTAAACAGATTATTTATTACAGGTATTTACATAGCGCCAACAATTTACGCAGCCCTTTTACATAGTTGCACATTCACATCAGTCCCTACCTTCATGGAGCTTACAATCTAAGGTCCCTATCTCACATGCATACATACAGGGCCGATTTAGACAGGAGCCAATTTACCTTGCAGCATGTCTTTGGAGTGTGGGAGGAAACCGGAGTAAACCCACGCAAGCACAGGGAGAACTTGCAAACTCCTTGCAGATAGTGACCAGGCGGGGATTTGAACCGGGGACCCCCCAGTGCTGCAAGGCAGAAGCGCCGACCACTACGCCACCATACATTCATTACTGCCAACCCCCAGAGGTCTGTGCTTACACCACCTGTGACCCCTGTGAGAAGTGTTGCTCTATACTATCCGAAGCCTCCTATGCCCCTGGGGGCCCAACCTTTCCAGAGTTTCCTTCGGTGTCCTCATTATGCTCTCCTATGTGTTCCTACCTGGCCAGGATTCGAACCCAGGGAACCCCCCAGTGCCGCAAGGCAGAAGCACTAACCACTACGCCACTGTGCTGCCCGTGCCATCCATTTTCACACAGCGGCCCATAGGCTAGCATTGGGCGTCCAATTGGGTCCACCTGAAAAGCTGATGGGGGGACCCGGTCAGACCACCCCGTGTGAAAGGGTCACGGGCACCCAACAGAACTACTTAGTCTTCCCAAATGTATCCGAAAAAGGCGAAGAAAAAAAAAAGTTTTGTCTGGAGTTGAGCTTAAAATAAATAAATGAGTTAGGAAGCAATCAAGAAACCGATACGCTCCTAATTCCGACCTTTAATGGTGGATTTGTGTGACACCTGCCCAGCGAGTGACTAACCGCACACCTACTAAACGCGGCGCGTACGCAGATTAGGGTGTGACAAAAACAGATTGCTTCAACCTATTCTGGAAGAATTTTCCGAGGCGCATTGATGTCATCCCTTAATGCCAAAATCAAAAGGGCCGATGATCGCTTAATACTCGGCTAATCTCCGCTATGAAAATCCAATCACGGGCAACTGGTGAAAAGGTCCATTTTTTATTAGGGAAAGGGGAGCTAATCCCTGTTCCTTATGGAGATATCACATACATAGGTGGAAGGGTTTCCTTGTGATGACTCTATGAAATCCTATCCTTCCACTATTCTTTCCCCTTTCCCTCTGTGGTTTCGAGAAGCCCTCGACGACCGTTAATGAAAAGCACCTCCCTGCCGCAGACACACGAGTATAAAAAGAGGCGGTCAGGAGCTTCCAGAGGCTAAGGGCGCTCAGCACAGAAGACACAGCAACCCACTGCACCACTGAGCTGAACAAGCAACAGGTATGCAAGATCATCATTATTATTATTATTGTAAAATACGCTTGTCTACATTTCAATTTCTGATGACAATGCAGGAGAGCTTTATTTTAATTCAATTTAAAGATTGCAAACGTTTATCGTAATAAGCCACTTTGGTGATTTCTTTTTTTTTTTTTTTCGTTTTTATTTTGCATTAATATCTTTTTTTTTATTAATGAAATAATTAAATAAAATAATGATACAATTATTTTTATTTTTGCTTTTATATTATATAAAAGTACAATTTAAAAAAATGTTATACTTATATATTAGGTTTTTTTTATGTTTATTTTTAATGCTGAAATGAGGTGTATTTAAATGTCTCTAGTAGTATTTTCTTTTCTTTTTCTTTATTATATTATAAATTGTAGTTACTAGGTATATATCAATATACTACTATGTTTCGGTTAAAAAAAAACATTTAAA